ATCAAGAATGCAGACTGCATCAGATGGAAGTGTTGGACAGAAATGAATGCGCAGTTAATGTGTTTGGTTTCACATCTTTCACTGTAAGAAATCATACCTCTTACCAAGGATTGCTCAACAGAGCACTGCCAGCCAGTTCACAGACAGCTGGACGAATTCGAAGGCCTCAGATACACAGAAGTTGTCTTTGTCTCATGGAATTTTCAAATAACTGTAAAATTATAAGACAAGTTAAAATTTGACAATTGGAAGAGCTGTATCTGATAAACGCATCGAGTAGTCCTTGCCAATGTCATGACGCATTGTTATCTGGTTCGAATAGAGCTGGCGTCGTTTCGTTTCTCGTGCCGCGTGTCCCATGCGACAGTGCATTCATGGCGTAGCAACCGGCGTACGAGCCGCCACCGATCGATACCCGCTGGTGTGACCGCTCGATGTCGGTGTGGATAGCTGAGACCGTGGTGTTTGTGGCGTCGCACCGAGAAGACGGACATTCTCACAATGTGCTGCGATGTGCTCGGCGATGTCAGTGTCATCATGCTGGCGCAGCCCAAATGTAAGCTGCCGAACTTGCACTTCCGTGGGTGTCCATCCAAATGCTCCAAACACCCCACCCCATTCTCCGTCCCTTGAATGCCTAGTTTTGGCTTCCAACATCCAAAGTATCAAGGCAATTCAAATCGCACATGAATCTGTTGTTTTCGTACACTACAAAATCGAAGATGCACTCATTATCAATCTCTACATACTTCGTCCGACTAGCAAGTAACCTTGACTGAATCCATTGTTCGATTAATCCAGGATTTTGGCCTTGTAAGGTTTCATTTTGTCTACCACCCGGCAGCCAAATTTGGTCTAATTCCAGATCACGAGAAGTGTAGCACAACTACCAATAGCATCACAGCTGTAATCCTCATGATCCTTTTCTCATATATATATAGATGCCTTTTAGTGTGACTTGTAACCCAAGTTCCACGCATGCTCGCCTAGCACTTGTGATACTCCCTTCGATTCCTGTATTTCTTTGATTTCGCGTACTCTCTGGCCACGTCAATAGAGACAACAATCAATTTGCGTACCAAAATGAAAAAAGTAATAGTCACACGAGTGGAACTCTTCTCGTTTATCCCCTGATCTGCGTCAGTGGGGGTCATAGTCAGGTAGTTGACAACCCTAAGGCCTTGATCTGACCAAATTCATGTTCATTTCAACAAGTTTTTCGTTTTATTCGCCATCTACCTCGTCTAGGTTGAGGTTTAAATTTTGATCAAGTGGAAGACCACAAATAGACGTTTTTCAGCCAAAACTGAATAAACTACAGTGCTGGGATTCATCGGAAGCGGTGAAGTCGGTGTGGATGTGGATCGTAAATCGAATCCGAAATTAGAACTCACCAACTAACAGGAATTTATAAGTCGCATAAAGGAAAGCGGGAATTGAATGAGATTGTCCAAGTTGCATTTTAATGTGGTTGAGTTGCGCCAGGTTTCCATCATATTTGTCAAGTAAACCACCCGAATTCCCAAAGTGACTGGATTTAAGCAAACGCTAACCAGGAGTAATCCTGCATGTCTGCTTTCTTGCCTAGCAAGTTAGTAAGGTGCGTGGTAAGGAGCGAGTTATGAACCAGAATAAGCAGGATATTCCTGAGGTTTCAGTATACTCTGCCTCTAAAGGCACGCAGAATATACTTCTCGCAAGTAGCTTCTCGCGCCCCAAAGCAATGCCGTTTTCCATCAACACACAAGCGGAGATGAGCATTCATCTGTCCACAACATGACATGTTGGTTGGGTATAGGGAGCAGAACGCATTGTCTAGACTCAACGTGCCAACACACTCAGGGGTCAAACGCCTGTCTCCCGCCATTTCACTCATCGTCTAAATCTAATTTCTTTACTTATTTCTGGCGTGGATTGTTCTGGCTCTCGACTTCACAAAAGCATCGTGGGTGTGGGGAGACGTGAACGATGACATTGCCTTTGGAATTCGCATCAAGCCGGATTGAATTTGCCTGGCGGTTTGCCAAGTCAGTTGACAATACACCTCGCGTGTACTGACTCGCTGGCTGCGTTAACTGTGAGAAATTAAGGTTTACATGTTCAATCGTTAGCAATCAGTGCCACTAGTGCCGTCACAATAAGACGTCTTTGATCAACACAAAACCGGAGTTAAGCAGTCTTCCGTCCACAACATGACATGATCCATCTCACTTCGTTCTGTAAAGCTTACGCCAATGTTCGTCGCGGGCTGACTACAGGGCCACAAATGCAAAGTTTCATGCCCCGAATGTTGCCGCATCTTGCCCACAAGCGAAGAAACGCATTTTGAGCACATTTAAATATACCCCGATAAACTAGACACAGATAATGCCGATACAGAAAATAAAACTTTTGCACTACCTAGCGAAATTGCTGGTTTTTGTGACGAGGACAATTGGAGGATCAGAACCTGTGCGCGCCTCAAATTCTACTCGTTAATGGTGAACGCGTGGTCTCACGTGTCTGGATGAGCCTCATTCGCTGACACGTGATTGGCTCCTGTCTCAACCAATGAGCGCCACGTTTCACAGAGACAAATAAAAGTCGCTGAGCAGGCACCACGCGTCACAAGTTCGCTCCTTCGAAATGCCTTCTCAGCCGACTGGTCGTTTAGGCCAACACGGACACAGATCGACAGTGCCGCTGGAACAACTACAGGCCATGAGGAGGGTATGTTCCATCCACCATTGCAAATATTTCCGATTGTTTGAGCCTTTAACTTAACTCGCATTTTTGTTCCTAGGTCAAAAAAAATGAGTTAGAAAAACATCGGCGAGGACGTATTTCAGTGAAGATGACAGAGCTTTATGACCTAGTGATGTCATTGGTCGGTGGCGACGTAAGTATGAATTGGTCGATTTTTTTGATGGGATTGAAGTACACAGGGTCCTAATTTCGACTTCGTCATTTACAGTCACGGAATCACAGTCGCTTAGATAAGAACACTCTTCTCAACGACTGCATAGAGGTTATTCAGACCCTGTTGCATGTGATGCGTGAAATGCCTGAAGTACAGGCTAGCCTAAAAACCGCATTTGGACAGCGATTTAACTCGAAAACGGTCCCTTTATTCGACAAAGACAAGGAAAACATACCTCCACCAACGCCCATCCAACCATCGACTGCACTTACTGGAAAGACTCTGAAAATCGCAAATGCGACCCCCGAGAGTGGATACCACGACAGTTTCGCCAGCTGCCTCCAACAGCAAAGTCACAATCAGCCAAATTTCAGTGCCGTCACCTACGTCATCTTCACTCCAATTCATCGACTTCTTGATGGAACACACCATCACCTACCAGCTAATCAATCCCAAGATATCATCGGAATTCAAGACTACCCGATGGATCTCAGCATTTCCAAACGCCAAGCCAAGGATCTCCAGTTGTGTAAACCATACGAGACTTGATCTGTGTCTCTTACACCCCATCCTCACCTTCTCGTCCCAAATCTGTGATTCTTCATTTTAAACCACTTTTTTTTAAATTGAGAGTTTTTATATAAAGTGAAAAAGTAAGCATTTTCTAAATGATTCGTTTAAAATTTCAAATAGAAGCTGATCTGGTAGGTACACTTGGGTTCATTGGTATCTGACAAGTGTACCGTAATTTCGTCGCTTGAGAGATGGTGAAAGAAATAATTGCGAAAAGACGTGTGGTGTGGTGAAATAAAGAGAGCAATTTTAGACGGATCAAAGTGATCCACGTCCAATTCTGTGACACGTGATACTCGTCTTCACTTCCTGAGTTTAATTTCCAAGTTTCAGGACATCACATTGCAGCGTCCGTCTAGGTGTCCGAACTAAACAGTGTTGGGAAGTCCAGTCAAATCGCGAACATTACTAGCGAAGGCTGGATTGCCATCTTAACACGGGGATGTCACTTGTTTGTGGGCGTGGCGATTAATACGTGAACGATGGAAGTGTCCGCGGTTGTTGCTGGCGTGGCATTATGGGTATAGCAACATGCAGAGCTGCGAATGGCTTGAGGCGTGATGATCACGTGTGTTGATCACGTTTTGTTGCCAGCTCCTAAACTATTCCGGTTATGTTCATATTCAGCAGAGTTATTTGTGCAGTCTCGGCATAAAATAGCAGTTCTACAGTGCCAACCTAGGCTGGATCGACTATATCGGAACAGGACCTCATCGTGCATGCAAAGTAGTAATTCGTTAGTGGAAAAAATGAGTGTTTGTGCCAACCGCTGCCACTACTGTCTGACTCCCTCTTTTTCTGAAGGCATCCTGAAAGGCCAGACGGTGTGGACGTGACCGGATCGATTCTTGCAGGTCAGTGCCATGTGACCCTAACGATAATCGCACCAACATAGTCCAGATGGACTGGGTGGGACGAAATGTGATGCAGGACATCTTCATCGTTGCAGCCGTTCACGATAAAACGCAGTCTACTCTCAACGAGAGTGTAACCATTGGTTCTTGAAACTGGCAAATGCCCAAATTGTTCGCGTTACACGTTGCGCCAGAGGAGATGGATTTACTTTCCACGCCTTGGAAGGAACCATCCACTCACTCCTTATTATGAAATACCACATTCACCACCGCCTGTGCCATCTTCTTTCTCAGACACATAGACTTGCACATCTGCAAGCCACTTTATCGCTTAGTCTCAAAGGAATTATGATTGGCAGGTAATTATAGTGATTATAACTGTGGACGGAAAGGGAACATATGCCATCGACAGAAGAGACTGGCACAAGTTGGAAGGCGACAAATCACATTAGGGTGTGACAATGATTCTACAACATTGACTTAAAACATAAACAAACATAAGAGTGCTGTATTTCCGACGATCTCCTTCTTTAAAACGCATTCATGTGCGAAGGGCGAAGCAACTAACGCAACTGTGTGTGTGAGTGGACACGATAGCAAATGACAGCGAGCATTCGTGGCAAAATGTCCTTCAAGAGCCAATTCTTTAAGCGAGATGCTTATAATTGTTCGCATACCTGCACTACGCAGGCGAGGTTACTACAATAATATCTAGTCTCAACGTGCTATACTCACACACACACGACTCACTTACTTTTCAAAACAGGACAGGGCACCACAGAATCTACCTTGGTGAAACTGGCTTGCAAGTTTCTCGAGGGCAAATCCTGGTAGTGTCTACATTTGTGCATAAATCATGATGATTTACTACAATACGACTACATTTCGAGAATTCTGACTTCTATTAGCTCGGTTCTGTTCACTCGATCACTACTCGGCAGTCACGCCACATCGCTGTTTGCACTAACACAACTCAGTTCACTCAGTGCTAATCACTCAACTCACCAGACCAAGATCGCCCAGGCATGCGCTAGTGGGCGCATATGAATGTACACTCGATTTGTGCTTTTGCCTAAACTTGTGATCGGACCTTTGGCTGAGACAGGAAAGCTCTCTACACGAGCTCGAGTCTATGAAGCCCTTGACATGGCTTTTCTGACAAAGTGGTGGAACAACGTCTCGATCTGTTGATAAAGATGCTAGCAGATTTGCAATATTCTGAAGCCCTACAGCCAGATTTTCTCATTTGATGATTTCCTAAAGCATTTCGCAGTGATGAGTCAAGGTGTCAGTTCAAATCGTCTATAGAGGACCTGTACAAATCCCGTTTTATTATTCAAATGTCTACACATCCTAAGGTATGAGGTCCCTGTACAGTGTCGTAACAGTGGATGTCGACTTATTTTTCACCGCCGAGCACTCGATTTGCTGTCTTGAAAGCTGTCCACACAGATATATCATAGATATTGTCACCAGGGCAGTCGCTGGACCTATTGCCTCTACCTCATGAGATATTTTTTTGGGGGAACAGGGCTAAGGTTTCTTGTCACTGATGTGGGTCATTTGATTCCTTCAAACTTGAAGTCATTATTTCCACCAAGCCTGTTGTCCGTCCACAATCACGAGTTCCATTGTCGGAGAAAGCAAAAATCGGCATCCCGCAAGTCAAATACCCACGAACCCAAATTCAGCATTTCATCAGTCTTATTTTAACTATTCGTCTGATATATTAGAAAATTGCCTATATAAAAATTTATGTAGAAGTGTAAAATCAAAGATTTAGGATAGAGCAGGTTAGAACAGGGTCTAAAAAATTCAAATCAAGTCCTACGTGGTTTCCACAACTAGGGACGTAGCGAGAGGCTAAGATTAATCGGGTGGACAGGACAGCTGGCGATTCCTTGGGACCGTTAAAATGCCTGGTGGGAATGTGCAACGTTCAGAAACAGTTGAATCGAAGTGTAAGTAGCGTCGTTGCTGAAACTGAAGTTTGGATCTACGGCGGTCTCAGGTTGGAGGGGCCTGGCTAAACTTCCGTGGTACCAACTCTCGGGGGTTCCACGACGAATTCGTGGATGATTCCAATATGCGAGGACGACGATTTGATTGCCGTCGGTAAAGGCATGTTCGCCTTGCCGCTGTCGACTAGAGGTAATTTTCTCGATGCTAACTCTTGTCCAAAGACGGTTCTTAGTCTTCTCTGAACTTTTGGCGTTTCATGAATCACATTCGACAGACCATAAGAAATCACAGTGCAGTCATTAAGGCGATGAGTCTTGTGTAGTCTACCGTGATTCTGCGTCTGTAAATGATGAGACCATGTTTAAGACCACGTCATTAGCAAGCCTGCGACAGTCAACCAGTTTAAACTTACTTCACCAACGACCATTGATGTTGCTGTTTCATATAACTCCGTCATTTTCTCCGAAATACTTGCGCGTCTTCTTCTGTCAAGATCCCGTTTTTTATGCTTAGAATAAAAAAGCGACTTTTGCTTAACGCACGTACACTCGGGTACATATGAAATGGAGAAAGTTACCTACCCGCCTAAAAGCCTGCCGTTGTTCCCGCTTCAACGCAGACCTGAGTCGACGGGTCCGTCGAGTAGACATATCAAGTAAACGATGTTGTTTCGAGTGATTTCTGCACTCTTGCTTTTATTTGCCTAAATGGGGCGTGCTACTCATTGGTTGGAACATAAGCCAATCACGTGCCAGTAAAAGTGGACTAGACAAACACATGAGAGCTCGTGTTGACAAATGAGGTGCACATAAAGACCAGAAGGTGCAAAATGTATGAGTTCTGATCCACCTATTGAACCCCGTCAAGCTCACTCACGCACAAACATATCTTAGCCAGAGGGAACTTAAATTGTACTCTCCAATGTGTCTGTTTTGGACGGGAGATTGGCAGATCTCTTGCATGTTTCCAGGAGGATGAATTCCTGAAGTGATTATTGCCTGAATGGACCGAATCTGACAAGGTGCCAAACACCATAACGTCAACAAATCTAAGCTGGAGTTTACGTGGTTCTACTTCAGCGATTCCGACCTGTCTGTTTCCCTTTCACCCACGTCAGTAACAACCACGGACACTTTCGCAACGTTCACACATTAATCTCCACGTCCACAACCAAGTGACATCGTGGTGCTAAGATGGCATTCCAGCCTTCGCGAGTAATGTTCGCGATTCAACTGGACTTTCCTGTACTGTTTAGTTCCATTCTTTTAAGCCAGAATCAGTGCTCATTGGATAGTTTCATGCGAGTGCATTTCGACTGAAGTCTCACCGGTGGACGGTTGGATCTAGCGTCATCAAAGCTGTCCACACATTAGTAGATAAGTTCCCAAATACGTCAAAGAGATTTAGGGACCTAGACGGACACTGCAGTGTGATGTCCTGAAACTTGGAAATTAACCTCAAGAAGTCAAGACGAGTATTCTTTGTCACAGATGTGGACGTGGATCGCTTTGGTACGTTCAAAATTGCCCTCTTTATTTCATCACGTCACATGTCTTCCTGCAACCACTTCTTTCACCGCCTCTCAAGCGACGAAATCACGGCCCACTAGTAATCTATACACGAACACAAATACCCCTGCCCCTACGGCAAATTGGTTAGGTACCCACCAACCCAAATCCACCTATCACCCCACCTCCATTCATTAGTCAAGACCTTTGGAAATATTTTGGAATTGATTAACTGGTAGTTGATGGTGTGTTGTATCAGGAAGCCGACGAATTGGAGTGCAGGTGACATCAGTGTAAGCACTTAAGTTTGGTGGATTCTAGTTTTGCTGCTGGAGGCAGCTGGCGAAACTGTCGTGGTATCCACTCTCGGGAGTCGCATTTGCGATTTTCAGAGTCTTTCCAGTAAGAACGGTCAATGGTTGGGTTGGCGTCGGTGGAGGCATATTCTCCTTGTCTTTGTCGACCAAAGGGAACGTTTTCGAGCTGTTCTCAGTCTGGCCCGTGCTTCAGGCATTCCACGCATTACATTGGACACAGTCTGAAGAGCCCCTATGCAGGCCTTGAGTCGACTGGCCGTGTCTAGCCGACTCTGTTTCCGTAGCTGTAAATGATCAAGTCGAAATTAAGACCCAGTGTATTGCACGCCCATTGA